AGCAATCACTGATTGTTCATTGGCTTATTTTAAAGAAGATATTTGCAAGTGGCAACAGCCTCAGATTCCTTAGGAAATATTTCCTTCTACGTAACAATGTCAGGGCGAACATTGCCTCCACATCATGACAATGGTCAACTGTTTTTCCAATTATGCTGTCTGATATTTCCACCAAAGCATTATTGGCAAAATACTGTCCAAATGGCAGAATTTCATGGTAGCTTTCAATTTTTTTTTAGTCACAAAAAACATCCTTACTAAAGTTGGTATTTGATAATGTCCATGGGCAGGACTTTGTCGGGAAGCAATTTTCTATGGGTTTCTCCAGCATTTCTGCTTGTCTTATGAGGAGAGGCTTTAACAACTTTTGTTCAAAATTATTTTCAAGGATGTTCATATGGTGTACAGTCTTGAAGACAGTGTCTCTCTTAAGAGCAAAGATTTGTTTCTTGAACAGGAAGATAAAGATAATCTCTCTCTCTGGTACAAAGGTTGGGTAGGTTTGCAAGCAGTCTCTTTATGGGACTAGGGATTTCCTAACCTTGGGGTCCTCAGCTGTGATGTGAACTTATTGCATTCAGTTTCCACCTAGGCCACTCTGCATTGCTCCCATCAGATGTGGGGGCAAGGAGACCCAATGTGAACATGAAGCTCATGACATTTGCCGTGTTGTGAGTTATGAAGTCCTCAGTCTCTAACCTAGGAGTCTCATGTCTTTTGCCAGCACCCATGAAGCTGTGACAGTCTAACTTGTTATTCTCCAAACTGAGTAGAAATCTCAGACATTTCACAGTTCTTGACAAACTTCAACATAACTTTCACAAGACCTTCCATAATTTTCTGGTTTTAGAAAATGTTTCTAGACATTGATTTTAAGTAATGCTCAAAGCCTATTGAGGTGGGATACTTTATTAAAGCACTAGAACAATAATTTACCATCGTATTTTGAATACCTTGTAAAGTCTTTGAAGTTGCATCAAAAAATAGATTAAATAAAACTGGACCTATTGTTTTTCTTTCTAAAGACTCATATGTGAGTGTTCATAGCAGCTTCACTGCTAATAGCCCAAAACTGCACACCACCCAAATGACCATTCATTTGTGAATGAATAAACAAATTGTGGTATATTTATACAATGGAATATTACTCAGCAACAAAAAACAATGAACAATTGATACACACAATGACACTGATGAATCTCAAAATAATTACACTGAGTCAAAGAAGCCAGATCAAAGAACACAGTACACATTATATGATTCCACTTGTATAAAAGTCTAGGAAATGCAAACTAATGTATAGTGATAAAAAGCACATCAGGAGTTGCTTGGGGTTGGAGGGGGATAGGCAAGATTGGGAGAGAGGTGTTACAGACGGGCATGAGAAAACTTTGGAGAGGATGGATACATTCATTCTCTTCATTGTGGTAATGGTTTCATGGGTGTATACATATGTCAAAACTTATCAAATTTTATGCTTCAAATATGTACAATTTATTGTATGTCAATTAAACCTCAATAAAAATATATCGTATGTTTGTTGTACATCAGGTTTTCTTTCTTTCTTTCTTTTTTTTTTGTGGCTGGCCAGTGCAGGGATTCAAACCTGTGACCTTGGTGTTATAAGGCTGAGCCCTAGCCAACTGAGCAACATTTGTCAGATATTTTGCTGGGTGTTTTTATACAATATTCACTTACTTCAGAAAGTACTTTGTTGTAGGGATAAAGCTGGCTTTCAGAGAAGAGTAATATATCTATGGAATAAGAATATATTCTATAAGGAGGAGAGGGAGTGGAAGAGAATGGTGAATGGATCCAAAAGTGACTCCTGGAATAGGGGAAAGGCAAGGCAGAAAAAAGGAAAAGATGATGTGGCATGTTATATTTTCCAACAATGGACACAACATTATTTTTTGTTATGATGCAGCTCTGATGCTTTTCGCACTGAGAAGAGGAATCCATGTTCCCTTGTCTTCAATATGGGGAGGTTCATGGCTACCACAGAGGTAATGCTATGGAACTTCTGAAGTCATAAAATGTGATTCAGTTTCTGCCTGGTTTTCTTGTGATGTTCACTCTTGGAACCCAGTCCCCATGCTGTGAGGAAGCCCAAGCAGCTACATGGGAGGCCTGGGGGACCGCCATGCTGTCTGAGGTCATTGTGGACAGCCAGCATCAACCTCCAGACATGTGGGTGAGTTAAGCCCCAGCGCTTGAATCACCCCCAGCCTTTGAGTCTTCCCAGATGAGGCTCCAGACATTGTGAAGAAGAGACAAGGTGTCATTGATGTACCCTTTCTGAATTCCTGACCTACAGAATCAGTGAACATATTAAAATGGTGATTGTTTTACACCATTAAGTTTTTTATTTTTTTAATGCAGCAATGGTAACTGAAACAGGTGATAGGGAAGAAGGGGAAGAAATGGAAATAATAATAGAAAAACTAGGATTCATTCCTCCTAAAGAAACAGAAAAGATTCTGGAGCTAGTTGTACCAGCTTTTGAGAGTGGATACTCTCAGAGAAGCAGTCTCTGGCTTTCTGGGATAGGAGGTAGACCCCTTGGCATCATGGGATCCAGGGAGATACCACAGTCGCTAAAGTGTCAGAGTGGAAGAGACTCTGTCATCACCAGCCATCTGATTATCCTTATAAAACCAAGAGTGTGGTCAAAGAAGTGGGGTAGGATTTGTTGGCTTCCTGTCCCAGGTAGAAAGATTTAAGACAAATTGAGTTTTGAATTGGGGTTGTTAAGTAAGTGAATATGATTTAAATTATTATTCATGTTTTTTGCACAACATGAATTGCAAAGGACGTATATAAGTCTCATTAGTAGATTATTTTATAAAGAGAACCCCTTAACGAAATTTTGTCCACTCCCAATATCACAATCTTGATTCTTAAGAATCAAGCAGAAGCTTCCAAATTCAGGTATTTATACATAATAATATCTTAAAAGTTCTTTAATGCTATTATGAAAGTGACAAATGGACTTGAGAATGAGTAGATGTGCAATAAGAATTGCTTGTACAGTGTATCCTGTGTTGACGTAATCCCAGCAATATAATGAATAGATGTGAATTCTGACATCAAGGTCTAGTTCTGCATTACTAGCAAACTAGTGACAACCTTTAATCAATGTACCTGTACCGATTTTGACTTGTCTGAATTCTGTTTTCAGGATTTATAGATTCTTTCTTGTGTGAACCACTCCGTCTTTGCCTGTGCTATCTGCCCTGTCTAGATATCCTCCTTTTCATATTCAGAAAATTCATTGCTAATTCTTATCTTTGTTTGTGTTCTCATTTGGAATACAGTTTAAGACAGACTTATCAACTGATTTCTACAGATGTTCCTGTTTCCCTCCAACATGTAAATTATAGGCTAGCTGCTTTACTTGTTAACAAAGACATGACTGAATAATTTTACAGCTCTCGGGTCTAACTTGAGCACACTGTCTTTTTAGTGGTGATGATGGTTTTCTTTCTTCTGTTCTGGAGGGACCAGCATTTGCGGTAAACTGTGGAAGCAGGAAGGGATTTTAGAACTCATTTGGAGGAGAGGAGTCTCTATCAGCTTAGAGTGTGAGCCAAAATGAATTTTCTATTTTGTGCTTCTCTCACACTTCCTGTGTTACTCCATTAAACATCCTCCCAGGGACCAGAAGATTCAAGAGATTCTGTTAAATCAGTTTATGCCCTCTATCATGGGGACCACATTTGCAGGATGTGGGGCATGGTAACCCCTGTGGTTAGGATAACAGCTGTTCCCAGTTGTAACACATGCATCACAAAGTGAAATAGTCCCAAAATTACCCTCAGGGCTTGTGGTAGAAGGGAAGAATGTTATACAACTTAATTTGCCCACATTCATATAACTGGTATGTTGCTGAGCCTAGTTTGGACTTCAGTTCATGCTTTTTCTTTTGCTTTATTATTTGTTTCTACATTACACCCTACCTTCAGAGAAGATGTGTGAGAGCTGCTGTCTTTCATGGGAGAAAAGGGTGAGCATGCTGAAGACTGAAGATGAGAATTTGCCTGGCTGTTAGTGTACCATGTAATACGTACAAAATACATCCTGCTGGCTGCCAGACCCTCAGCAGTCTTCTCATACATTTTGGCCAAACTGTCCTTTTTACTGGAAAGGAGATTCACAACACCACTCTGTGGAGGGACTGGGCCCCAATGCAAGTGAGCTGATAATCTAACCTTCATACGTTTGAGAGAGAGCAACCATGTACCAGAGGTTCTCAAAATGTGGTTCCTGGACCAGCAGCATCAGCATTACCTGGTTAAAAATGCAAATTGGCCTAGATTTACTGAATCAGAAATTCTGGGGATGAGGTAGTTTAACAAGGGCTCCAGGTGATTCTGATACACATTAAAATTTGAGAAATACTGCTATGTCCAAGAGTTTTAAGAAACTATTTTGTTCACAGTTTGTCCTCAATTGTGAGGATAATTGTGTAAAATATCCTTTAGTAATAGAAGGTTGAAGAAAGAGATCTCTTCCATCATGTAGCCACTAAGCACTTACTAAGCACCTACTATATGCAAAGGACTAAGTTACTGTAGGGAAGGTAAAGATAAATAGAATACAACCCCAACTTTCTCGAGCTCATCTAGGGTTGATGAGTGGAACATATTTGATTTGCCCCAACAAAGATGAAAGTAGCACAGTAGCCGGCCTTCTTGGTGGCTATGTAACACCCTCTCACAAAATGAAAAATGCTTGCTAAATTCACCATTGCATCATTGATATTACTAAACCATCCTTTGCTCTCTTCAGAGATGGGGGAAGAAAGACTGTTCATTAAAAGCTTAACAGTTTGATCCGCAATGTTCATCTGGTCAGTGACAAATAAAATGCACAGCCTCAGACTTCTTTGCCACTGCTGTTGCCTTATGAATCAGCCCCAGCCCCAGGAACCTGAGGCTAGATCAAGAGCACCAAGTCATCTCTTACCTGCTCAGTGATTAAACAAATTTGCAACCGACTTTCCCATCTATTTAACTTTTATTAAAAGAAGTGCTAAGGTACTGAGATTCAGTACATCATATTTATTACCAAAATTATTAACAAATATACAAAACTTATACATGTGATTTTCTTACATCCATTTATTCTCTATAATACTGATTTTTGTTCAAGTAGGTTATCTACAGTATGTAAACATCCCTTGGATTGACCTCACACAGATTAGGAAAGCCCTCTAACCCATGTTTTTATCAGATACTTCTTTTTATTTGGCTTTCGTTTGTAGCATCTAATCTCCACATTTGGCACATGGAAGAGACATCTACAGTGCAAAAGAGGCAGATTTTCTGGTTTCATTCCAAACAATTTTGCAGGGGCACAGTCAAAGAACTGAGAGGAGAACAGGAGCACTCTAACTTGATGGCGTTGGATTAGTGTAATGCCAATAATTCTTGGTTTGGCCATTAAACTTGAGCACAAAGTCAGTGTCTCTTCCTTCTCCCACCCATCCCGCATGCAAGGCCGATTCAGTCTTAACCTTGTCTCAGAAGGGTTAAAAGAAATTCTATCCATCCCAGAAGACGTAGGTTAAATTCACCCAAGAACAATTTTTCTTTGTTCTTTTGTGTGGGTTGGTTTCTGCGGTTTGATGAGCCAGCAAAACTCTTAAAAGGACAATAAAATAAGATAAAAAATGGATATGTGAGTAGAACTTTCTATTTGCTTTCAATTGCCATCTCTGTATTTAAGACCAGAGCCTTTTTGTGGTGGCAAAGCAACAAAGGCCTTGGCGAACGACAAAGAAGCCAAGCTTGCCATAATACCTTGGACTCCAGGCCTTTGAATACAGTGTCAGAAAAACAAAAAAGTGGAAAAAAAAAAAAAGTAATTGGAGATTCTGCCCTCTTTCTTTCTGGGTTTCCTTTAGATTATTTAACTTACTCTAACCAAGTAAAGCTGATCCAAAGAGAGCTCCGTCCGCCCGCTCACCCCATCCTCACTCTCCAGCACAGTATTGCTCGTGTTGTCGGCTGCACCTCGTCCGCGAAGCATCCGCGGAGAACGTCTGGATTTGGACGCGCGCCTGCCTCCAGGCTTCCGTCACCACAGGGGCGCCGGCCCCTCCGATGCCCCGTAGAGCTCCGCCAGCTTCCGGAAGCGGGGCCCCCAGTCCGTGAGGAAGTCGAAGCTCTGCTCCGAGTCTGATGTGGCCGACTGCAGGGAACTCAGCGACCCTGCCACGGAACCGTCCCCCTCGAACATGTATGTCTGGAGGGAGTCGAAAGGCGGGGCCCACAGGTCCATGTCGGCCTCGTAGAGCTTGGCCAGCACGTAGCTGTGGACGGTGCTGTTCACGGCGCACGTCTGAGGCACGTAGCGGGAGAGGCTCTCAATCTCGGGCAGCATGTCCTGCCGCGTCTTGGGGGCGGTTCCCGCCTGCGCCTCTCGGGGGTTCCACATGGCTGCGATGTCAAAGGCCTCGGTGTCCTCCTCGCCGCCACCCTCGTCGTCGTAGCGGACGATGTTCTCGTGGATGTTCTCCTCGTCGTCGATGATGTACGGCTGTTTCCGGTGCCTCCTCATGGACAAAATGAGCAGCACCAGCACTGCCGGGAACAAAGAGGACAGGATATGTGCTGGTGAGACCTGGCTGTGTGTGTCGTGACTACAAGTATTCTTGACTGTCCACAAGTATGGGAAGAGTTTACTAAGCGGTGAGTTGAGAAACAGCATTTGGATATTTTAAACCACGGGGAATTCTAATTTAAGTCTATCTCATTCTCTTTCTGCCGTGTCAGATTGAGAGTTTGTGGACGAATGAAGCCTTATATTTTCTTCACGTGGTTCAATTAGAAGAAACTGCTTATAAAATCTCTTCACATCAGCTTGCTGCTTCGAAATTGTGTGTGTGTGTGTGTGTGTGTGTACACTCAACCAACCAATATAAAATTCCATTAACAAAGCACAATGCACTATGGCCTGCCATGCAAGTAAGATCCGCTAAGGATCAGATCACGTACTCTGTTTATACAGTAATGAATATAAATTCCTCTTATTATAGTGGGGAAATATTATTAATGTAGGTGGAATTCTGCTTTCTTACAGTAGCGTCTGAATAGGGTTCTACTCTATAAATATAATCATATACTAACGAATATGCATAAAGACACATATGCTAAGTATGAGCCAAAGTCATAGTCTTTTTATACCTTCTCCGAAAGATAAGAGCATAAATGACTCCTGTGGTCCAATAGTCTGAGGTTCCTCAGAAAAGCCTTTCATTAGAGAGAGGGGCTTGTGGCTTTCTGGATCCAAAGGTGTTCATGGAAAGGAGGGAATGAGCAGTGACGTTTTATATAATTCATCATGTTATTAAAGAAGCATCACACTGTTAGATGTGCCCTTGCAGGTTTGGATAAAATTTTATCCCAACAAGTGCATTTTTTTCCAGGATGTGTTCACTGGGGTTTAAAGGAGAGAGAGAGATAATCCCATTGAGCTGTTGATCTTGCTGACTGAAAACGTTTTCCAGGAAGTGTGCTGAGATTTGAGCTGTAGAAGTGCTATTGATTTTTTTTTTCCTAGTGTGCTTTGTTACAGCTGGTGAACAGTGACAATTTGACAGCATTGCAAAATAAGACCCCTTTTTATCCAAGGGGAAAAAATGGAGTACAGTCACATGTACAGTAAGAGATTTCAAAGTGACTAACAAAACTCACAAAAATGATTTTTTAAAAATTTGAATGTAGATCGGGCTTTTTTATTAATTGCAATTAATGATGTTAATAGCTGATATTCTCCCAAATAGATTGGGTGGCAAAATGCACACACAAGAAACAATGATATACTCTTGTATATTTTCTGTATGTGCAAAAATATGAATCATGGATAGAAGGACTGTATGATGTCAGCGAGAGACCAATAGGTCTGTAAGGAAGTGGGGACTTGAACTGGACATCAAAGGCTGGGATGTGATTTAATCCAAATCACACTCCAGCAGATTAGATAAATGGGATTCTAAGTGAACATGCCGTGTTTGTGGGATTCAGTAAATAGCCACTAAACCCAAATATTTTTAGGCTGTATGCTAAGCAAGGGGAAAATTATATTGCATATGACATGGTTTCTGCTCTTATGCGCTTACAATCTAAGGAAATTGTAGACACTGATGATGAATACAAATTGGACAGTGATAACATCTATTTTGGGGTCACAACTGTTCCCAAGAGAGTACAGAGGCAGGACCAGAGCATTCTGCTTGTAAGACTGGGAAGGACTTCACGAAGGTGACCTTGGAGTGGTAGGGGAAAATTTTGGAAAATGCCAGGATGCAAAATTAGATAAGTCTGAGTATCTGCTGGAGAGGATTCCGATGGTGATGGAGAATTGGATAGTTTATAGAACTGGTCCATTTCTTGAAAAATAAAGATTGCAATGTGTCTTATTTTTTAGGTAGTCTAACAAGTATTGCATAATGACCTGAAAATCAGATTTTGGGAAAAATAGTCCTATTCAGTTGAAAGGCTTCCCTGATAGAAGAGAATCCATTCTAGGGATGTTTATTCTTTAGGTTTCTATAGGCACAGTGTATAGGGCTTATGAGATTTTCTAGGAACTAGATACCTATTTGAGAAATGGAAAAAAACCAAAAAAACTGGCTAAATCAAAATTAATGGGTTTAGTTGTCCACTAAATGTAGTATTTTGTTGACAACTGCAACTCAAAATCTTAGTTTTATGAATTATATTTAATGAGGGATATATACCCTTAGAATTAAGTGTTCTTAAAACTTTGAGGATTTTATGACAACTCTGCCCAATTTAGCTCCTGAAAACTGTTTACTTATTCTGTACAATTAAAAAGACAAAGCATAATGGGTTTGGGAGTGACAAAATAAACTGTCCTTTGCACACCATTTCTAACTTGAGAACCTCTTCAAGCCAGTCTCTTTAAATCAGTCTTTCTGTAATGATGATTTTTCGTGGGCCAGGGTGAACCTATAACATAGACATTTTCCAAAGACAGAAGTAAGGACAGCCAGTCTAGATATTTTTCCTAGGAGCAAATTTCTTCAAAGGCTTCTTGCAGGCTGTCTTGTTCTGCAGTCAAGGACTCCCAATGCCACCTTATGGACACTCCAGGAATTACAGAGAGGTTTCATTTGTCAATTACAGATGTGGCCCAGAACCCCTAACAATTCTCTCTGATCCAGAGATCCAAGGACCTAGAAAGGTTACTTATTTATACTACTACTCCCTTCACAAAGGACTGAACTAGAACAGCAAAATTAGACCGCGTGTTGTATTTTAAAATGTGTTTTGAGCAACATATTCTTCAGACATAACTAGAAGTTCAAGGGCTGACATTTCACACAATTTGGAATTTCTTTCTTTGGTCTGACGTAGTCTCTTGGTGTAGAGGTGGACTTGGGATCAAGAATGTATATGGATATCTGCATATCTATTCTAATTTAAATCTCCAGTGCTTTACTTTTTTCCATCACAGGAAGCTGGGATTTGTTTTAAATTGAGTAATACTACTATCTACTAAGTATACTTTTCTCTAAGCAGGATAAACATGCTATGAATTAATTCAGTAAGAAGAATAGGGTTATATATATGAAGATATTTTCCTGGTTTCAGGAGTTGGTTTAAATGGTTTTTTGTTTGTTTTTGATTGTGGGGTTAGAAAATAGTTGCATGGATGGCCTTATGTAGAGAGGAGTCGGGTGGCTGCTTTGCAGTATGACTTGAGAGGAGGAAGGAGGGATCTCCTACCCCAGTAGTTCTCTCCCACTGGCTTGTCACATCTTTTTATTTCACTATGAGAGGCAAACTGGCCCCGTTTAGTCACTGCTTCTTGTTAGAAGGCCACAGTGCCTGGGAGAGGTGCTAATGCCCCAAACAGCTTATTTCCCCAGAATCCATGTGGTTCACTCCATTACTTCCTACAGGTCTCTGCTCAAAGTTCTCCTTATCAGTGATGACTTCCTTGACCACTGTATTTGAAATGGCACCTACCCCTGTCCTCCTGGGACACCCTGTCCCTCTTCCCTTCTCTGTAACACTTACCAACTCTAGAGTCAGGGGATGAGCAGCTAGGAGAAGGGCAGTACTGCTGAGACACAGGGGTGCCCAATATATGGCCCACCTGCATTTCAGTCCTGGCTGTGCCTATGACATTTGGCTTTGGGCCTGTCACTTACCTCTCTGTCATTTAGCTATTACTTATCTGAAATGAAGGGATTAGAAGAAGTGATCATTGTATCCTGTCCAAAATTGTAATTTTGGTTTTATGATGTCAAAGTGAACTTACTTTTTCTGAAGTAAACTCTGTGAAGGTTGGGACATATCTGTTGTCTTAATCCCAGAGTCTAGCATGGTGCCCTGGCTCATAGTAGATGCTTTGACCTTCCCAAAGAGGCCTTAAAGGAAGGGACTGACTTCAATTTTTTTACTTTTTCCCAGCCTCACTCTACACGTTTTCAGTAAGCATGGTGTGAAAGACAAGTTCTGAATAGCCTTGTTAGGGTGGCAGCTGATGCATATCTAAGCAAACATTTGGAGGATTCCACAGAACGGAAACAAGCCACTTACTTACCTAAGAGGACAAAGATGCAGGCCAGGATGGCAATGAGGGCACCCCGACTCAAACTGACTGGGAGTATGTAGGCCTCGGGGCTGCAGGACATGACATGGCCATCATCATCACAGCTGCACACCTGGATGGTCAGTGTGCCTGTGCTGCTCAGCACTGGCTGCCCGCTGTCTGCTATCAGGATGGGCAGGTAAAAGACACTCTGCTCTTGCTGCCGAAAGCCAGACCTCCTGGTTAGAATCCGGGCAGTGTTATCTGAAGAAGCAAGAGGATTCCAGGATTCCAAAAGGGAAGAAGCAGAATGAGAGGGAAGAAGAAAATGGAAGAACCAGCAGGTGAATTAATTGTTTGGATGGAGAAAAGCAATGGGGCAGGGACAGGGTGTGGGAAGGAAAGAGAAAGATAGTCGAGCATTCCCTGAAGGGGTTCAGCTATGGCCAGGGCAGGTTTGCCTGGATCAGCATGTGGATTCAGAGACCAAGATTTTTGCTTATTTCTAGGCAAAACCCTGAGGTCTAGGAGAGAAACCCTTTTTTAAGAGTCTGTCTTACCCTTTGTGACATCAAGTGCCCAGGGCGAACTGTCAGACTTCAGATTTAACAAAAATGTCCCTGGGAAAGCTTGACAGAAGTGAACAATCACGGGTGACTTGTGGTCCCCGCTTGTTCCCACTCAGCAGCTTGCCAAGGCCCCAGTGCTGCTTTGTGCCTCCAGGAAAAGAATGCTGAGGAGCCCATGTGGCTGTGGCAGATTGCTTATTTTTGCCACTTTGGCTGAAATTCTTGTCTTTTGCTATTTTCTTTTATGCCTCTGAAATGCAGTCACCAACTCCTCCTGTGCTTCCTGAAGAACCTGCTCATTTAGCAGCTTATTTGAAATCTTCTAGTCATATGACACACCCTGTTATTTCTCCCAACTTGGCGGTCTAAGTTTAAGCAGTTAATATCAACTGGGTGAAAATTTGTTCCTGATCAGCAATACTAGTTACTTTTCCTCCAGTTTTAAAGGGGATTAGTCAAATTATTAGATGTGTTTCTACAAGGCTGGAGTGTGTGTATTTATATTTATATTTGCCTAATGTCATGTTATAGGATTTTTCATTTTTTAAATCTGTTTCAAGTTTCCTGGAGTGGGTTTGCGTTCTAAAGCAGATATATTTTTGCAAAGCTGAGATCATTTTTGGCAGAGGAAAAGTTTGAGATGTGGTAAGACGTACAAAAAATGACTCTCAAAGCTAATGTCATCATTGCGGAAGCTCTTCTGGATGTGTTTCACATTTCACAAGGAAGAGTCTAGAAGTTCACAAAATATTCTGAGAACCTAGCCAAAGTGAACATTACTAATGATAATCAGTATTGCTGGTTCTCCTTCACTTCTTGGATGTAATAAAGGATTATATTTTCCTATCCTATTGAACTTGGGGATGTCTATGCGGTTTGCTTTAGTTAATGAGCAAGTGATTTGCATCACTTCCAGGCAGATGCGTGTAAGAGCTCGTTTGTGATCCTTCATGCTTTCTTGCCTTGCTGTGGGGACTGAGAAAGAGTATGTGAGACAGAGATCAAAGCAGTGTAGGACACTGAGCTATACCTGATGGACAGCTGTTCTGGGGCACTCAGATCCTCAGTGGCTTTATGTGAGCAAAAAGTTAACTTTAGTTGTGCTAAACCACTGAGATTTGGTGATGTTTGTTCTTGTAGCATAACCTAGCCTATTCTGACTAGTGAATTATCCTTTAATTAACTTTTCCTCCTCCTCCTGCTTTTTCATGGTAGCAGCTATTGTTTATTGAGCACTCATGTGCCAGGTACTTACACTTATATGCAGTGCCATTTAATCTTCATAACAGTTTGGTGACAGTTGGTGAGACACTGATAATTTTACTGTCATGGGTGAGAGAATTAAGGCCTAGAGTGATTTTATTATTCAAAGTCACTAACCTAGGTTGTAGGAAACTTGGGATTTGAATTCTGGTCTCAGGGACTCCAAAGCATGCACTCTTTCCTTTGCGTTATGTAACCACTTATTTAGTAACATTAATTGTTAAAAATTATTCAAATAATTGTAATCTCTTTCTACTTGGGTACTGGCTATGTTCCTCTTATATTTTCTTCTCAGTGGATGAAGAGAATTGATTGCCAACCTGAGGATGATATTCATATTTCCACCTTCCACACAACTCACCACCTTTCTGTTTTCCAGACTTAATAACTAAATACTATTCATTCTGCTTCATAGTTTTAATTTTTTGTTTTTATCTTCAGAAACTAAGTTTTTCTGTAAACAGAATTTTTTTTTAAATTTTTACTTTTTGATTTAATTCAGGCTAGATCATAATTCTTTAAGAAATACTGACCAGAGCTGAATTTTATAAAAGTATTATATTATGCTTACTGTACTTTGTATATGTCTTGATCTAAGAATTAAGATTAAAGAAAAAAATTAGAGCATCACATTGCAGAGTCCTGTATATAGTAGCCACTTGGAAAATTTTTGTTGAATGTGATAATTAGGGCTTTAGTAACCCATTTGAAAACAGTGTTTGTTTCTAAGGTGACATGAAACACTTTGTGTGTGTGGGTATGTGTGTGTGGCTAAAACAGGACCCAATTTATAGTCCTAATCTTAATGTTTATTCACTCTCTGATCTTGGCCATTTGCTTACTTTCCTCATCTATCAAATGGGACAATAAGAAGCAGAGGGATTAGTAACTTCCTGAAAACTTACAGAATTATTATAAATATTAAATAAAGCAAAGTATGGGAAAATGCTTTTGAAACTGGAAAGTGCCATATACACCCAATCCTTTTAATAATATTTGGGGCTAAAAATGAAAAAAGTCTTTACTTGAGATAGTGCCCTGTTTTGTTCATAAAAGGACATCATGCTTCTGGGATGGGAGTGGGGGGCACTTGGCAGTAGTTCCACCATATCAGACATTGGTCAATTTTTTAAATGAGCTTCAGTAAGGATACTCGTGGGATAAATTAGGAGTTTGTGCTTTCTGTTGAAGATGTGCAGACTTCTGTTTTTGGGAAACTTTCCAAGAGATGAGTCATGTCTTTTTATAGTTATCCTGTTCCAGTGGCCCATCTTTTTAAGGTATTGGTTCCATGAATTGGTGCTCAAAGTCATCTTTAAGAAATCTGCACCATTTTGCTGCATATTGTTTCTGTATCGATTCTGACAAACACCAGAGTGAAAAGATAAGTGACATGTAGCTGAAAATTTGGAGAAACAATATAACGTGTTATTCCCACACTGCCCTGTTAGAGTTTCCTTTATAAAACCAGTCCTGAGGAAGCTGAAACCAAGTTTTTGCAAGAAGGGTTTCCCGATGAAGTGGATAAATCAGTGGTTGAAAATGTTGACACAATAAATATCTCAGGATATTTAATTATATTATTTTTGTTATTATAATTCATAGTGCCCTTCCAGAATTAGTGATTTTATGATGATGTATATAGATGTTGAAGGGATGTCTTGGAAGAATGTTTTCCATTTAGAATAAAACAGGTTTGAGATTGTCAAGTTTTATTGCAGAAGACTATCATGGGGGGCTAAGTTAATACTTTAAATCTCAAATAATTGATGTTTGAGACTGAGACCAGGCATGCCTAATCATGATTTTTTGTTACTCTTTGTTTAGATTGTTACAGAGCAACAATAAATATTTTAGAATTAGAATGAAAATGAAGCTACTGTAGTCCAGAAAAGTGATGACCTCCCCAAGGTTATATGTCTAGCTTGTAGCAGAGTTAACAGAAGGGGTTCATTTGACAGATTTAAATTGTTTTTTCCAATTGTTCTGACCTTTCTTTGAAGCACGTCATCTGGCTAGAGAACAGAAGCCCCGCCTTTTCCCATCTGTGCCCAAAGAAGAGTGTGCTGGGTCTATAAACTCCTTAGTTGATCTGAATGCTTATTGGAAAGGAGTCTAGAATTACATTCCAGTAAAGATGTAGTGAGGAGCACTTTCTGCAACAGGAACCCCACCTAGATGTGTCTTTCTACATCATTCTAAAGTAGAAAAGTTGTTTCAGTGTCAAAACTGCTGTTTGTGTTTCTGTATTTGCCCTTTGCTATTTCTCTTAGCCTTTGTCTCACTTTTGTTCTGAGAGCTTTTCACTGTTTCCCCCTTTTATCCTAGCTTAGAAAGGTTCCCTCAGGTTTTTCTCTGTATTTAGGTCACTTTCTATCATCTTTCTCAGATTCTTTCCGTTGTGACAGAACATATAAATATGGGTGCTATCTGTGAGAAAGTAGGAAGGTTTTTGTCTCTGTGCCTCAAACAGAGTCTTGCATAGAACAAGCACTCAATAAACATTTGTTGACTGACTGAATGAAAGTTTTAGAGTCAGCAGAGGGCACTTTCTGTCTTTGATATTCTGAAACAAAACTTTAAAAGACACTACAAATTAGCATTAATGTCCTCCCAGTTATTAAAGAGCAGGTTACTCTTGATGCTTTTTGCATAGTACAGTAACCCAAAGTATCCAGCCTAAGCTGTGGAAAAGCATAGATAGCCCTCTGTCCACCTGATTACCTTGGTTGTCCCTTATGGTGAAGTTGGGGTTGTTAGTAGCCTCAGGAGCCAAGCTGTAATAGAAATGCTGGCCATGGAGTGGGTCATCCAGGTCCACTGCACTCACTGTCTGGATCAGCTGAAGGAGGGACATGAAATCAAGTGAGTTGAAGCCAAAGAGAAAAGCTTCAGGGCCCAGTGAAATCCTAAACCCTGAAACCCAATGGTGGTGGTTTTAACTAATGAGAAGGACATCATGATACGTGCCTGGAAAACCTCCATGCCATCACACAACTAAAGATTTAATTTTGGTTTGTTGTAGGGCCTGAGTACGTTAATAGGCATAGAGTAAATGTTATCTAAATACCTTAGATGTTAGACATCAGTATAACTTATATTCCCACACCACGGCCAGCCATTTTTAGGTGGTCTAAATAAAAGACTGAGTAAAAGGACTGTGGGGTGCCACAAGGTCCTACATGTCCCCCATATTTTCATCATCTTACCCTGTCTACTTCATGATTGGGTGGCTATTTGAGGGTTAAGTTGCTAGCTTTGTGAGCCCCTGTTTAAGAAGGACCACTACCTAGAAGGGTAAGCAGACACATCAGCACTGGGTATGTTGGGTTAATGGAAAACAGATGTGAGGGAGTGGGTCCCAGGGCAGTCATGCTTTGTTGGCAGTAGGGGAGCTGGCAAAGGTGTAGAGCATTAGATTCCCTGGTGGAATGTGTAGAATAGACTAGAGTCAGAAGCGGAGCTCACGGTGGGGACAGCAAGAGGTGGGGTGGCTTCCACTTGAGCTCTTTGGCCAAATTTGGCCTTTTCCATAATGCTCTTCAAAGGAAAACATTGCCATGAAGGCGAAGGAGATGATGATGATGATGATGAAAAATATATTAAAGAAAACAGTGTGAACCAGACAATTGGAACATTAGCAGGCAGGCTGGGGCAGGGGGCAGGGGGCAGGATATAGAAAAGGGGTTGAATGGCTGATTTTCCTCTGTTTTTGCTTTCTACCAACCAATAGCACAAACTACTCCCACCCCTCTTGGGCTGGCCCTGTAGAATTGCCACTCTTGCTATTAAAAGCTGGCTATGTTTCTGCTAGGGTAGAAACCAGAACATCAAATGTCAGCTGGAGGGCCTGGGTGGGCTTGCTTAGTCTGTATTTCTTTATCTGTAAATTAAAGGAGATAATGCTATACAGAGGGGGAAGCTCCCAGCAAGGGGCTTTCTGGACACTGTTGCTCTGATCCCCCTTCATTGAAGGACTTGTTGCTCTGGCCCTCATCTGTCAGTCTCTTCAGGGATTACCTCGGAGAGCCACCTTACCCCCGGTCACTGCATCCTTCCAGGGCAATCCACATCCAGTGACTAACTGATGTGATAGTGAGAAAGAAAAGTAGTTCAGCAATCTGAGCAGTGTGGGGTCTGCTAACCTTATCAGACCCAGAGAGATATAAGCATGGGGCTTTAGTCATGTCCCTCTTGACCACGTTGGGGATAATTGCTAAAAGGCATGTTTTAGCAACAGTACGCAGACTAGCTGCCACTGCCAACAGGTATAAATTACCGAAATGTTATCATAAGTTGTACAGTGTGATTCCCACTCTTTGTTGCAGTATTCTGGATGCAAAGAGCAATGTATAGCCAATCAATAGTTTCTGGTATTTTAGTGAACCAACGTAAATTTTGGGCAAACAACTTTGAAACTGCCCCCTTGACTTCTTTTTCTCTGTAAAAGTCTGTCTGAAAACTGCTGCTGAGCAGAGCACATATTCAAGGCGACTTGAATCTGTGACTCCCGGGCTGCAGGCCTCAATTTTGGCCTACATAAAGTCCTTGCTCTATATATTTTTGTCTCTGTTTCTTCCTTTAGGTTGACAGTAGTATCAAGGCCTGGCATCCCATCTCTACTCGGGAAAACTCTAGTCCGAGATCTCTCTGTGAAGTCAGCTGAGGCTGTTAGTGGATCTGCATCACAATAGGACTTCTCCTTTTGCCAAGTCTTGCGTCCTTTCCTTCCCTCCCACAGGCATTGGCTCCAAGGGCCCTCCTTAATAAACACCTTATACTAGAGTTCCATCTCAGGGCATATCTCCTGGAGAACCCGACCATTGAATCTGAATGTGGGGGGAACGGAGTCATAGTGAAGGCAAGGGGTCAGGAGAGTAGTGGAGATACCCCCCCGCCCCCGTAGCCTCATGTCAGCATTGCTAACACAGGAGAGTCACCCTCCTTCCTCATCTTTCTGTAGAGACAAATTCTGTACTTTTCATCTGGCTTGTAGCGCCAAACATTATTTATATGGAGGTAACACATTTCTTGAGGAATGTTATCAGTAGACAAACGTGGTTGGAAAAGTCATTGCAGAACATCTGACCGGTGAACTGTGTGTATATTGGTGAGATGGGGGCCTGAGGTGTAGAGCTGGTTGATTAGGGGGCTTGAAAAAATGAATGAATGGACACTGCCTCACTGGATTGGGGTTGGGATTGGGGTCGGGATTACCATGGCCTGCTCTCCTGCTCTCTGTTCTCCTGGCAGGTCATAGTTTTCCACAGCCCCACTTGTCGTGCAATATTCTGCTCAGCTGGTTTCATTCTGCCCTTAGCTATCACCAAGTGTGTTGTCTGATTTCTTTGTGGGCTTCCTTCATGGCTGCTCACTAAGAGGAAAGCACAGATCTGGACTTGGCAGACACAGAGCTGATGACAGTGTCCCACAAGTAAACACAAGGAGGCCTGAATCTTTATAAACCAGATATACCTCCTGAGCTGTGTGCTTTTCAAAATCTTCAAAACATTTATCAGAGCCCAAATCAAACAGCAGGATTTTCAATATCTTGGCCATCCTCACCCATTTGCCTCACCACCGGAATGCATAGGATCACAGGATGTACTCCAAGGGAAGTAAATTAGAACTGTTAGGGAATCACTGGGTAGTAGACAGAGCAGAAAAGCATCTTACAAAGGCAGGAGCAGAATGGGGAGATTGTAGGGTGGGTAGCAGCCTGACACATATTAATACATGGCCTCTCCAAATGGAGTTCTAGATGTTTCTCAGCTACACCACTTGGAATCTGATCAACCAAATATTCAGTTAGGTTTAAAAGCATACTTAAAAAATACACAGCTATGTCTCTGAAGATTACGGAACTACAGTTATTTCAAATAAGTAGAACTTTGTTCTTTCAGATTACTTTCCTCTCAAAACTTACATGATATGAACAGCACTAAGAAAATGGGTGTTTTGGGCCGGCCTGTGGCTCACTCGGGAGAGTGCGGTGCTGATAACACCAAGGCCACGGGTTCGGATCCCATGTAGGGATGGCTGGTTTGCTCACTGGGTGAGCGTGGTGCTGACAACACCAAGTCAAACATTAAGATCCCCTTACCGCTCATCTTTAAAAACAAAACAAAAAAATTATCTGTTGTGTATCTGAACTTCGCATTTAACTGGGTGTCCTATATTATTATTTGCTAAATCTAGCAATGCTCAGTTTAGGGGCCTCTGGAAGCATACAGCTACCTGAGCTTCCCATGCTACCTTCAGTGTGTCAGCTGTCCAGTTAGCAGATGGATCATTTAGGAGGCTATGGCCCCTGACTGTGGGGACTTGAACCATCCCATGTCCAGGGAGGGCCTCTGTTGTCATGGGGATATGGCTACTGTATTTTCTAGTCTCAGATGAGGTTATCACAGGCCCTTTATGCATTTGATCTCATTGACTTTTCAAAGCTTGTGGAGTGTGGGTTATGGTTCCCATTTTACAGAGAGGGTAGATAATTCTAGGTAACAAAGCATTCTGATAGGGCGAGGTAATTGCTGCCCGAAATTAAGAGAGGGAGGTGGGAAGATATAGACAATAAATAAACTTTCCCTACTGCAAACTCTTTTCAGGGATTGGTGTGGTGCTACACTCAAGAAAAGACAAGACTCTTCTTTCTGATCTATGTGGTCACTCACTTCCAGGACCCAGAGCACGTGTGTAGTACAGTTGATACTCTACAGTTCAGTTTCTAGTGGGAAGATACCTTATACAGGCCACCCTGTGACTCAAGTCACCATCAAAGCACAGTTTAGATCATAACATGTAATGTAGGCTCCAAATCGTTGTCTTAACAAACAAACTGTTGAAAGCTGATGTACAGAAGTCAGAGATTCTGTTTTGTAAACTGTTAGTTTTCAGAGTCAAAATGTGTTTGATGGCAAATTTGGTTATCTGTAACAGTTGTTTCCATATGTTGGGGATTAACCAACTTGCACAGTTTACAGGCCACCTTACCTGCCCTGCTTTGGCATTCTCACAGACAAAAGCTTCATAGAATCTGGAGAACTCTGGAGCATTGTCATTCACATCTAAGACTTTGATTGTGACAGTAACACTTCCAACCTGGGAGGGATTGTCTAAGAGAACACAAAGAAAACCAAAGGTGAGAGTTCAGTATTGCAGAAAAGCAGCTATTTGCTGGAAGTAGGTATTTACTTCGTCAGTCTAGTTTTTAAAGGAATAGATAAATTTCCATGGAAGTGGTAACACAAGCATAGGATGCCTGTGTTGCCTAGAAGCTTGGACACAATGATGTGGTGTTAGAGAGTGTGTTTGCTACTAGGTGTATGAGGGGAAAAACAAGACTTGAGGGTGTCACAAAATGAATCTTAAAAAGGGATTTTGAATCTCCGCTTTGGCTTATACTTGGGTTCTGGAATTAAAGGCAGGTCAATTCTGTATTCTGAGCTTTAAAACAGACCATTTCTAATCGGATGCATGTTGTATAGCACTGTTTGGCTTTATCTTTGTGGAATAATCAGTTCTTTGAATTATATTTCCAAAGGTTTCAAATTATTCACTTCAGTACAGATAACACTGCACATTTACTTCTGCTTAGGGACTAAGGAGATATTACAAGATCAAACACACCAAATTCCTGTCTTTAGCTGGGGCAGGAGAAGTTGCTCATAGTCACTCATGGGGAAATGTGTTATCTTGGTCTGTGTCTTTTGCTTGGCACTGCCACACAAAGACAATGCCACATCCCCAGTAGTGCCCCTCCTGTCTTTTTCTGTTTTGGTCACCACCCCAAGAGACAAAATAAAAATTACAGGACTCAAATTATTTTTAGTAAGTAACTTTACTAAATCCCAGAATGCATTGTTATTCTGGTTCATTTTTTTGTTTCTTTCTCAAAAATATTTATGCTCTATCTACTATGTCTTCCCCCTAAGTACTTCTATTGCTTGGTTACCAGAAAGTTCCAACATAATTAAAGCTTATTTTTTTATTATAACAGTGGTATTTGTTTGTAGGAGGAATAATGAAAATTCCAGAAAAACATAAGAGGATAAATATATTCCATAATACTGCCAGCAGAGATATCCATTATATATGTGTTCCAAAATATGGAGATATACACACATATACTCACATACACACACGCACACACGAATTGCAGTTAAGCAAAATTAAAAAGTGGGATTTAGAACTTTAATACTTTAGAACAAAATTATGCTGTGTCTTAGTATATTTTGAAAGCATGGGTGTTAATGTCTACATGACATTCTCATTTATTTTAGGTTATACCATAATTTATTTAGTCACTCGCTTATTAGTAGACATTTAAGTAATTCCCATTTCCCTCCATATTTTTTTTTTTTTCCTTTTTGTCTTTTTTTTTTTACTGACCGGTAACGGGATCGCAACCCTCGGTGTTGTGCCCGCACCGTGCTCAGCCAGTGAGCGGGAACCGGTCTCCACATGGGATCCGAACCCTCGGCCGGGAGCGCCGCCGTGCTCCCAAGCGGTGCACTCTCCAGTGTGCCACTGGGCCGGCCCTTTCCCTCCATATTTTAAAATAACAGTGCAGTGGACATTTTGGTATATAAATCTTTGTTGATATCTATAATTATTTCTTTAAGGTAATTACTAGCAGCAGAATTCCTGAGAAAAAGAGTATGAATGTTTTGGAGAATCTTAATACATATTGTCATATTACCCTCTTGAATGGCTGTGCCTAGTTATATAGCCAATAGGTTAGGAACTACCATTTCCCTGAACCTTTACCATCATTAGGTATTATGAAAAAAAACCTAAATGTAGTAGTATATAATCTAATCTTTGTTAAGTGTATAATATATAATATATATCAATCAAGTTTTTATTAATTTTTTATTCCATTTATAAGATTGTTATGTTAATAAATCTGCCTTTTATTGTCAGATATCTCAAATTCTTATAGGCATGTATGTGTGTATGTGTATGTGTGATATAAGTGTTATGTTATTAATGCTTCCTTTCATCCAATAATAATAATATTTTATACTATATTTGTGTATTTATAATTTTATTAAAAATTGAAAGCCTATTAAATTTCTCTGGATTCTTTCCTTTTTCTCATAGCTACTTGGGGGTAAGAATGTTATCTTTTACTGCTTTTGCATGCTTTGTTTGCATTTATCTCTAGCACAGGATTAAGTATACAGGAGATACTCAAAATGTATTTGAATTGAATGCATCCATTCATTTGCATAAACCATGATTTCCATTTCTTCCCTTAAAGAATATAATTTTTGTTAAAAGAACTTCTAAAAATTTCCACTTTCTACAACACTTACATTTTGTCACTACACGGAGACTAATTTATTGTGTTACTTACTCATTTCCATAGCAAGAACAGTGATATTATGCCAAGAATATTCTTCCCGGTCTAGGGGTCTTGCAGTCATCAGGGCACCTGTTGTAATGTCAACATAAAAAAATCTTCCAGGGTCACTACTTCTGTCAATGGAGTATCTGCAAAAACATGGATTATGTGTGTCATTTACATTTAGATAAACATACAAGCACATGAGAGAATTGAGTGCATGCTGTGTGAAACATGGCCCAACCATTTCTGTAGTTATGAATACTTGGAAGACTGCATTTATGGTTTTATCATGTTCAAAAACAAAAAACCCAAAACCTCTCAAAATGAAAAAACTATTACTGCTTCAGTTTTCTCATTCAGAAAATGAACTAGGGTGCCAAGAGTCTTAGGGCAGTTTTAAGCTATTTCAACATCAATTTGCCCTATTTAAAGCTTAAAACCAAGGATTTTGGGACACCCCTACAGACATCTGTTCAAAAGGAATTTTATTCAAATAAATTCTCAAATGTTAACCTGGAACTCGAAAAGGGAGAAGGGCATAGTTTAGTGGTTCCAGTCCTTGTAATTAGTAATGCCTGTTGGGAAGGAATGCTTTGCAGTAAGCCCTTTGTGAAAGTGCTGATGACTGACCTGGCAAACACAGTAATGGTCATCACTAGCTGAAAATAGTAAATTCCTCATTTGTGGAATGCTTTTAGCAGGATGAACCAGGTCTGTCTAGGTTGTAAATAAGCCTGGAGTTTATGAATTTATGGGATACAGCCTGCTGGAAAATGTCATGTAAACTATGTAGTCAATGGTGTGTAACAAGCAGGTGTTCCACAACAGAAGTGGCTCTTTCTGTTCAGACAGTGCACTTCATTCATTGCTTCCATCTTTCGTGTTCAGTCTGGACCAGTGTGCATGTTTATGCTGGAAAAGACAGATATTTACAGGCACCTATGCCTGACAGCTTTAGTCTTCTCCAAGCGAAGAATGCTTGACTCGTATTTTGTTGTCTGTATAGTTTGAGTCATTAGTTAGGTTGGTGCTGGGTAAGATCTGTTATTCCTGTTGAATATGATTTAGCAAACTTATTTCTTGGTGTTATCTCATCTGATCCTTATCTTGGGAGATTCAACTATTATTGCATAAGGAGGCTCAGGCATCTATATGTTTAAAAACCTCTATAAGGGATTTTGATATATAGCTATGATTAAGAATCATTGTTGAGAATCTTATGTAGTTCTTCAAAGGCCAGTAATAATAATTATTATTTATTTTATTTTAAATTGACAAATAATAAGCATATGTATTTATGGGGTACAATGTGGTGTTTCCATATGTATACATTGTGGAATGATCAAATCAGGCAGATTAACATATCTATCATCTCACATACTTATTCCTTTGAGAAGATTGAAAATTCACTCCTTTAGCAATTTTGAAATATACAATTCAGTATTATTAATTATAGTCACCATACTGTGCAATTATTCCTCCTGTCTAACTGATACTTTGTACCTTTTGACCAGCATCTCCCCTTTCTTCATCCATCTCCTCTGCCCCCATTCTCTGGTAACCACCATTCTACTCTATGCTTCTATGAATTTTACTTTTTTAGATTCCACATAGAAGTGAGATCATGTGGTATTTGTTTTTCTGTGCCTGGCTTACTTCACTTAGCATAATGTCCTCTGGATTAATTCATGTTGACTCAGTGACAGAATTTTCTTTTTCTTAGTATTCCATTGTGTGTATGAGTATACATCAAAGTTCATGAAAAGGTTGGCATTATCTCTTAATTCTATTTTTCATGAACTTTTTGAAGTACCCTTGTATATACCACATTTTTAAAAGGACCCACTCATCTCTTGATGGGCATTTCAGTTATGTACATATCTTAGCTATTGTGAATAATGCTACAATGAACATGGAGTGCCGATACTTCTTTGACATACTGATTTCAGTTCCTTTGGGTATATTCCCAGAAGTGGGATTGCTGGATCATATGGTGATTCTACTTTTAGTTTTTTGAGGAACCTCCATATTATTTTCCAAACTGGCTATAATAACTTACATTCTCACCAGCAGTGTACTGGAGGTTCCCTTTTCTTTATCTATATCCTCAGTAACTCTTGTTTTTCATCTTTTTGCTCATAGCTATTCTAACAGGTGTGAGGTGATATTTCACTGTGGTTTTAATTTGCATCTCCCTGATGATTAGCAATGTTGAGCACCTTTTTATATGAGGGTACTTCAAAAGTTCATGTTATCTTTTAATTCCATTTTTTTCCCACAACTTTTTGAAGTACTCTTGTATATCTATTGGTCGTTTGTATGTCTTCTTTTGAGAAATGTCTTTTGCCCATTTTTTAATACTGTTATTTGTCCTAATTTCAAAATACATTACAAAGCTATAGTAATCAAAACAGCATGGTACTGGAATAAAAACAGACACATCAACCAATGGAACAGGATAGAGAGCACAGGAATAAACCCACACACCTACTGTTAATTAATTGATTTTCAACAGAGGTGCAAAGAACACATAATGGGGAAAGAACAGTCTCTTCAATAAATTGTGTTGAGAAAACTGGCTGTCCACATGCAGAAGAATGAAATTAGACCCTTATCTGACCCCTCATACAAGAATCAACTCAAAATGGATTAGATACTTAAATGTAAGACATGAAACTAGAACTACCAGAAGTAAATAGGGAAAGCTCCACGACATTGGTTTGGGGCAATGATTTTTTGGATATGACCCCAAAAGCACAGGCAACAAAAGCACAAATAGACAAATAGAATTGCATCAAACTAAAAAGCTTCTGAACAGCAAAGGAAACAGTCAACTGAATGAATGAAGAGACAACCCCCAAATTAAGAGAAAATATCTGCAAATCATATATCAGATAAGGAGCTAATATCCAAAATATGTATAAGGAACTTAAACTACTCAGTAACAAGAAAACAACCCTGCTTTTATTTTTTTAATTAATTAATTTATTTTTTTTCCTTTTTGTCTTTTTTCGTGACTGGCAACGGATCGCAACCCTCAGTGTTGCGCCCGTACCGGACTAGGGCCGGCAACGGGATCGCAACCCTCGGTGTTGCTCCCGCACCATGCTCAGCCAGTGAGCGGCCGGTCTGTATGTGGGATCCGAACCCTCAGCGGGAGCGCCACCGCGCTTCCCAAGCGGCGCACTGTAGCAGTGCGCCACCGGGCCGGCCCCAAACAACCCTGCTTTTAAAATGACCAGTAGTTATAATAGCTGCCACTTACCGAATGCCAGGCACTTTGCTATGTACTTAATACATAGCTTCCTTTTTAATTTTTATAACATTTCTGAGAGGTAGTTATTATCTCAATTATTAGATAAGGAAAATGAGGCTTACAGAAGTTGTCACTTTCATACAGTCATATAGGTAGTAATTTGCAAAGGTAAGATTTGAAACCATATACATATAGGGTTATAAGTATTGTGTTTTTAGAAATCATATAAATAGGAACTGGGGAATATATTGGGCTCAAAATTCTATTTAAGTTGTCAGCAATTGCAGTCTATATCTTAAAGTTGTTGAAATGGATAAACTGCAATTTTGGTGGGACTAGGCAGTTTCTTTAGTGTATTGCTTTTCAAACTGAAGGTTAGCAGGTTGTGAAATCAATATGGTGGGTAATGACTAGCATTAAAAGCTAAAATAGAATAGAATATATGCATGCCAGATTATCACATGCAGTAAAGGTAAATGTTGATGTGAAACTTTTTGTTTCATGTACATGTATATATATATATATATATAAATATATGTATATATACAGGCATACCTCATTTTATCATGCTTCACTTTATTGTGCCTCATAGATATTTCATTGTTTACAAATTGAAGTTTTGTGGCAACCCTGCATCAAATCTATTAGCATCATTTTTCCAACAGCATGTGATCACCTCGTGTATCTGTGTCACATTTTGGTAATTCTCCCAATATTTTTAGCTCTTTCATTATTATTATATCTGTTATGGTGATCTGTGATCAGTTATCTTTGATGTTACTATTGTAATTTTGGGGCACTATGAACCACGCCCATATAAGATGGCAAAATTAATGGACAATTGTGTGTGTTTGACTGCTCCACTGATTGGCCATTTCCTGTCTTGCTCTCCCCTAGGGTCTCCCTATTCCCTGAGACACAACAGTATTAAAATCAGGCCAATTAATAGCTCTACAATGGCCTGTAAGTGTTCAAGTGAAAGGACGAGTCGCAGGTTTCTCACTTTCTATTGAAAGCTAGAAATGATTGAGCTTAGTGAGGAAGGCATGTTGAAAGCTGGGACAGGCCGAAAACTTGGCCTCTTGGCCAAAAGTTAGTCATGCTGTGAATGTGAAGGAAAAGTTCTTGAAGGAAATTAAAAGTGCTACTTCAGTGAATATACGGATGATAAGAAAGTGAAACTGCCTTATTGCTAATCTGGAGAAAGTTTCAGTGGTCTGGATAGAAAATGAAACCAGCCATAACATACCTGTAAGCCAAAGCCTAATCCAGAGCAAGGCCCTAACTTGCTTCAATTCTGTGAAGGCTGAGAGAGGTAAGGAAGCTGCAGAAGAAAAGTTTGAAGCTAGCACAAGTTGGTTCATGAGGTTTAAAGAAACAGGCCGTTTCCATAACATCAAACTGCAAGGTGAAGCAACAAATGCTGATGTAGAAGCTGCAGCAAGTGATCCTGGAGATCTAGCTAAGGTCATAGGTGAAGGTGGCTATACTAAAAAACAGATTTTTAGTGTAGATGGAACAGCCTTATATTGGAAGAAGATGCCATCAAGGACTTTCATAGCTAGAGAGAAGTCAGTGTATGACTTCAAGGCTTCAAAGCTTCAAAGGACAGGCTGACTCTCTTGTTAGGGACAGCTGGTGACTTTAAGTTGAAGACAGTGTTCATCTGTCATTCCAAAAATCCTAGGGCTCTTAAGAATTATGCTAAATCTACTCGGTCTGTGCTCTGTAAATGAAAAAAAAAAAAAAAAAAAAAAAAAAACCCGGAAAACAACACATTTAT